AAGTGCTTGGTTTGACGTGAAGGCATCTCCATGAAAACATTGTCATGTGACACTGAGATTGCACAGGGATCCAAATCATGCTCACAAAACAATTTATTGTGCAATCCTAGTACAAGGATATTGTTCCAGAACTGCTGTGGTTTGTTCAGGTGCAGTTTTGCCAACTAAAGTCATGTTGCCATATTCATTTTGGAGAGAAAAGCTTTTCCCATGACACCCTTCCATGAAAGCCATTGCTGTTGAGTCTTTTTCTATTAGTGCTCCCATGAACATAAACTGTGTGTTGATAGAAGCCTTCAGGTCATTTGATGAAGATCTTGTTTCTTTGTTGTTGTGTTTGTTTTTTTATCTCTGACCATTAAATGATCTGACCTTGGACTGAACTTGCTAGGACGCCCACTTCTGAGAACATTCACAGCTGTCTTGAATGCTCTCAATTTGTAAGCAATATTTCTCACTGTAGAATGATAAAGCTCAGATTGTTGGAGGTGGTCTTATAACTCTTCCTGAACTGATGAGCAGCGACAGTTGCTTTTCTGAGGTAATGGTTGATGTCCTTTTTTCTTGGCATGATGTAGACACACACTTCAGTGCTCCAGAACACCAAACTGCCAAAAGTTCTGCGTTTATAGAGGTAATCACACTTCTTAATGGTTGACTAATCCTGTGCATTTGATTAGTAACACCTGGCTGCTGTTTACTCCGTTAATGATCATGGAAATAGGAAGGATGTACTTTTATTTTCCCACCTGGTTTCAGAATGTTGGTTTACCTTTGGGAAACAGTAACCACATATTGAAATCTGTTGTGTTTTTTTGTTGTCAGCTGAGAATTTTTGGTTGTTTCCAGAAGTCGGTGAGGACCACACAGTAAAAACAGAACTAAAGGAGAGAGTACTTTCTTTTTACCACCATGAGTCTGTGTGTTTGTGTGTGTGTTTGTGTGTGTGTGTGTGTGTATGTTGGGAGTAATGTATGCTTGTTATATGTATATTATTGTGCTTTTTATTTTTTAGAAAGCTCTTTTACCTCTTAACCATGTTGTTCATGTCCTCATTTGTCTCTTTCACAGGATAAAGTGTTGTCAAACAAGGCTCCCAAATTGGATCGCAGTGATGGCGTCAAAGAGATGAAAGAAAAGGCCCCAAAAAGGAAACTGCCCTTTTCTGCTGGAACTAATGGAGACCAGAAAGATTCTGACTCAGGTATGAGAGTATTGGGGGGCATTTTGGCTTCTCCACCTCTATGAGACTTTGAAGTGGGAGTCAAAGATGGGAATGGGATTTACTACATCACATCCTCTAAAGAAAGCAGGAAGTAGTCAGCCATGTTGTAAAACAGGGGTTGAGCTTTGTGTCATAAAAGGACTTTCAGCTCTCGCTTCAAGCTGGCTGTGTGTGTGTGTGGCAGAACCAAAGAGTTTGTTCCTACATTTGCTGTTTAAAAGGAGAAGACCACCTAAGATCATGATCCACTTAAGTTGGAATTTGTATAATGTATGGACCTGACCAGGTGTGGCTGTGGTAAGGCCTCCAGCTTTGTGTTTTCTTAAATTAGGGATTGGAAGTCTGCTGCTCATGTTTGTTTGACTCTGGGCTTTAAGGATTCAGGATTTAGTTTGTTGATAATGGTCCAATTCAGAAACTTTATTAACAGCCTTCATCATCAGCATGAGCTGAGTCGCTACATTATTTTTTGTTCAGTGATTACACATGAAAAAGGCTTTCTACTTCAGATAAGAGTGGAAAGCTTAATGTATGCATGTTGCAACAGATTACTGTTATGCTTTGGGGTCAGGTTTAGTCAGACTGGATATTTTTTAGACCCATGGGGTTGTATGTTATTACTGTGTAGCTCAAGAGAATAAGTGGCATGTTTGATTGAGAAGCTCAAATTTGTTTGCTCATTACCCCTTTGATTGGCACTCTTTGAATCCCTGTGGTGTTTGTGTGCCTGATCGTACCTTTTGTATGCTTACACTTATGTTGCAAGGTTATATAGTGCTCTCTTTTGGGAGTAATGTATGCTTGTTATATTTTCTTATTTTATTTTCATCAACTGTTACCTAATGGTTTTCTTAGGCTGTTTCTCATAGCTTTGTCCAAGAAAGAGCCCCCCCCTCAGTAAGAGAAGGTGTGAACTCTTGTCTCAGGAGCAATAGCTGGACAGTCTTTTAGTATGCTAATAGCTCAACTTGTTATTGGTTTGGGCTGTTAGGCCTTTCTTTCAGTCTTTGACTCTCAACTTTACTTCTCTGCACCAGATTCTGAACAGAACTCTCTCTCAATGCTTTGTTGTATTTACAAACTGTCGAACCCTAGAAGTTGAGCCATGACTGTATGACTGGATAATAACCTTCAGTGCAATGCCTGTAAATATACATCCATACAGGTCTCTGTTTTTAAGTACTCTATTTTTATTTTCATTTATCTAATTTCAATGAGCATTCCTTTGTCGGTCTGCATTGTTTACTGCCTGTTTATACTGCTTATTTTGCATTGTTTGCACTGTTTGTTGATGCTAATACTGATTATTTTGTTATATTACACAGCCTTGTGCTGCTTTACTCTGTACTTGCCCCTGGCTGATTCTGATTCTTATAGTCCGACTTTGCTTGGCCTGTCACGTTGTGACCCCCCTGGGTTAGTTTCTGCAAACCTGTCACAGCCCCCAGACCCTACTCTACCCTACCCAACTATCAACTCTCCATTCCTTTGTGGCTTGAGCTGATGAAGATTAACTACGGCCATGGGGCACGGTATCATATACCAAAATATTTTGCAGCTCATTCTTGGCTCCAGCTATTCAAACTCCCCATTTATCCAGTGTTATTTGTGGCTCTAAAGACATTAAGTCTGCCGACTTACTGTGTGTTAATTTAAACCAAAGAATAATGGAATACTTTATGAAATGAGCTTGCTTTGTTTTTAACATATATGTTACAGTGAGAGTTGTTTCATAGTAATAACCAGGCAAAAGGGGAGTAATATTGAATCAAGTGACTGTCTTAGTTTAAAAGCTGACTTGTATTATTTTAAGACACCCCATGCAGATTCTCTATAGACTCTTAAATAATATCCAAACAGTTTACATTAGCTTAGTTTTGTTCCCTTGTGAAACATCTCAGATCTTTTTGGAGGTGTGTTAAAATCTAACATCTAAAGTTGGGCTGTAGTGAATGGATTTCTCAAGATTGCCTATTGCTGTAATGGCAGAAAAGGCGTTTGTGTTAATGCTGATATTGTTTGAATGCACTGCCATCATCTTGGCCTCTAATTATTATGCACAAGCAAGTTGCCTGCTTATTGTTTACAAATCCTGCAAGAGCCTATTAGTAAACTATTGGTGGAAAGAGTATTGCACACTGTGCGCCAGTGGATTGCACACTGCACATCATTCAGGATGAAGTTAATCAAATGACTTCAATGCTCATCCCGCCCTTTGCAGAATCGCCAAGCTTCCCTTGATCTCCTCCTGAGCAGCTCTAGACAGCAGCATTCCTCTTTTCTGAGGTCACGGTTCTTTGCTCTTTTTTTCCCCTCTTCCTCCTCCTCACCACCACCATCCAAAAGCAGCAGTCAAACATGGATAGTTAGCAATTAAAGGATAATTCTGAAAATGCTGTTTATATATGAAAACAACTTGTGTTTTCAGCACCAAAACAAGCTTGTTGCTGCTCTTCTTTTAGTTGGTAAACAACAAAATAGTGACACTGCCATCAGTTATAAGAAGTGAGAAGACGTGCATCCCGATCACATCGTCACCTCATGCACTCTGTGATGTGTGTGTTTGACAACAGCCAAACAGATTAGTTTTATAGTGCTGAAACTAGTCTATTAATCCATTAGTCAGTTGATATTTTGAGTTTCTCTAATTGTAAAGATATGCTGCCTTTATGTTTTAGGTAATAAAAACATGTTCCAAGTTAGGGTTTTAGGCTGTTTGCGGTTTGGTATGTTTATGTTGGTCTGTGAGTAATTTATGATTTTGTTTTTTGACATCTGTGACATGGCTGCCACTGCCTTTTTTTACATTGGATTTATTAAACAATAAACCCAATGTAAAAAAATGTTTAATCAGTAATGGAAATAACTATTAGGTGCAGGGCCAATATTTTTTTGTATCTGTCAGTGATATCATTTTGGCCAATTAGTTGTACCTGTTACCCAAAGCGAAAAGTAATTTGCGGTAGTTAGTTTTGTATGCAGCATTGCCTGACAGCCTAAACATAACTGTTGCATGACAGAAGCAGCAGTCACCGAAAAGGTGAACGAAAATAGTCCTTTCAGCCTCACTGCTGCACAGGCACCGTACCATGTCTGAGTGGGCCTATGTCATACTTTCCACTCTGGAAAGTGTATTTCGAATGAATTGTTTTTTTGCATGTGAAAATACTGACTTACAATGTACAGAGGACCAAAACTCCAATGCTCCCTTGCAGAAGTGTTTGTAAACCTCAATGGGATTGATTTCCGTGACAAAATAGAGTAAATAAAACATATTGGCCAAACAAATTTAACCAGCTTGCTGTTGCTGTTGCTGTTGCTGTTTTCTATGTCGCTTGCTGTTTTTGTGTCTTTGATGACAATGATGATCAGCTTTTATGGATACAGAAGGAACGTATGATCTGAGCCATGTAAAGTGGGTTACAAAAGGAGACTGGTGTGCACAGACCTTTAGCCCATACATCTTTTCCAGGTGACATGTTATAACACAAAGATTTCCGTGTCTGTCTCCCAGATTCAGTCTGGCTCAGAATAAAGCCAATAGGCTCAATATGTACACTCCATAACTGATTAAAGCAATGTGTAACAAATGTGGAAGTTGGATACAGGGGACGGACAGAGCATTGTACACCAACTATTTTCATACTGTACATTTCAGTCTCTTGCTCAATACAAAGCATTGGCAAAACAACCTGTTGCCCACTTCCTTCCTCATCTCTTAACTTCCTGTTTACGTATGCAGTTTTTATAATTCCCCACACTGAACATTGTTTTACACTAACGTACTGCGGTCAAACGTACCTGGTCAGACTTGTTAGAGTGGTTCTTCTTGTCATGGAGTCTATGGGTTAACTGAACCAGACTGTTTCTAACACTGTACTATTGTCTGCCTGTCGCGTCACAATGTATCATTATTATAACCAGTTTTTATGTTTGAAGTGTCCGCTCCCCTGTCTCACGTAGACAGTCTATTCATGAGGTGGCTATCCCTAGCTAGCTTGTCTTTTTTTCTCTTGTTAGTAAAGGTTCAAACAGTAAGTAACCTAAATGGAGTCATTTTACTCACATACTCATCTTTAGCTTTGTACATACTATGGAAGCAGGCACACTATCCTAAATAATAGTTTCTTCATTTGTGTAATTCATATATGACGTGTATATTTGATTCATGTGACAATGAATACCTGTAAGAATATATATCAGACACAGTCATGTCGCATAAAGCAGTTTGAATTGTAACTTTTCTTAAATTCTCAGGATAATTAACCAAATGCAAACCTTATGACAGCAAAATCATGTCCCTTCATTCATAAACATGTGGAACAAACTGTGTGTAGCTGTGTCCCATTTTCCCACAAGATCTGTCAAATTAAAATCACACACATTTGTGCAGGCAGTAGTATCTAGTTTAAGAATTTGTCAATTCTCTGGCCTTGCAGGGCCTTAACTTTGTCAGTTTAAAACAATTTCAGTTTGATTATAGAAAATCTGTATTTACATTTGTACTACCTGGAGTCTGATTCATGTCGGAGATAGCAGCCCAGTTGTTGCTACTGATGAGGATTCTTGTATTAGAGACTTTGTCCTAGTATGTTGTTTAGTAGCAGTCCCCTACATGGCTGCAACAGAATAATAACTGCCTTCCTGCTTCCCAGTCTTGTAAACATAGTATGAAAAGGCTAGCATAGCACTTTCTCTGTTCTGCTGCTCAAAAACATGTCTGGACTGCTTCTGTGGTTCCCACTGTTAAAGCATTAGGAGGAGGAATGTGTCTAAATGGCAGATGCTTTGGAGAACGTGAGAGTGTATCAAAGACCGGTAGGGGCACATTAGGTTTAAGTGTTCACAGATGTTAGTGAAAGTTCATTAGCTCTATACTTGTGACTGGAAAAATATTGTCCTGGAATGCCTTTAGCCACCTGGAAGCCTGAGCCTGAGCTGCCATACTTGCTTCTAGCCTTATTTACCTGTGTGTTTGTGGCCTTGAGAAATTCAGCTTGAAGAGAAATTAGGCTCAAACGCATCTGCTCCTTTTCTGGGGTCTCTGTGCATGCACATTGGAATTTATTATTTCTGTTACTGTCTTTGTGGTAAATGTCTATATTGTTTCTTGTTTGTTTTTAACTCGATTGTTGCAGTGTTATAGTCATGTATAGCTTCATCCTCTGTAAGGGTCATCAGATGTTATGTTGCCACTGAAAATAATTGCTGGGTGTGTCTTTGTAGAGCAGCTGCTTTTGTTCAGTAGCACCCTGTCTCCAGTAAGCCTGGCAGGCAGGCATGTGGTGACCTTGGCAAGGCCATGTTGAATTGAAATGTACACCAGCTATCTCGTAATAACTGTGGTACTGCCAAGTCACACCCTCTTTCCTCTGTTCACAATTTTGGCTGATTGGCTTGGAGGCACAAACACAAACACACTGCCTGTTGGTCCCTCCCTTCCTCAGCTGGGTAATAACACAAAAGTCACCTCCTGCTACCACCAAACCGCTGACATACAGTGCCACATACAGCATGCAGTATGTGAGCAATTATGTTCTGTTCTGTTTTGCTTTTACAATGGTATATTTACATGAGAGGTGTGGAAAAGGCAAAGTGTGTGTAGTCATGAAAACACCTATTTGTTAAGTCATTGTAAATTGAACACTTTTTCTTTATTGATTTTTGTGTGGTCTAATAAAGTAAGTGGTTTAAGGACAAAAGTTATCCCTGCTGTTGTGATATATGTGATATAGGAAATATAGGTGAAGGTCTCAGTTTAGATGATATCAATACTTTTTAATTAATACTTTTTTGATGTCATAACAAGAGAAAGGTAGATATTAAATGTACCTACTGAACAATTTCACAACGATACTGAATTTCTTTAATTTTTGTTACTCTAATAACACACATGTTACTATCCCCTTTATTAAGGTTTAATATTTTGGATTTGTTTGTCTGTGTGTGAATGAACATGTAGTCTTATCTCTGCAGCACGTTAAATTAATTTTGGTTCTCTTCTCACACTTTTGTTACAGAGAAACCAGGTCCAGAGCGGAAGCGCATTAAAAAGGAGCCCACCAACACCCGGAAGGCGGGCTTGCCGTTTGGAATGGGGATGCCAGGGATCCGGGCCGGGTACCCCCTCTCTGAGCGGCAGCAGGTGGCCTTGCTCATGCAAATGACAGCTGAGGAGTCCGTCAACAGTCCAGGTGCGTGCTTATCATGGATTCCACGTCTTCAGTGCATGGACAAGGAAGAGGGATGAAAGGGACCTATACATCTAAACAGTGTGTGTGTATGTGTGGCAGAGCAGTGAAGGTGGGCTTAAAGAGAAAGAGGTAGTGAGATGAAGCATGGGATTGATTGGTTTTTTACATTTTTGGTTTACACAGGCTAATCCACATTAATTCTTAATATAGCTACAGCATAAACCTGTGCTGTCAGTGAAAGTGGTTATTTTGTCTTGGCAGCCATAGCAGTCACAAGTGTACTGGAATTATTCTTTCAAAATACAGCATGGGCCCATCAAGGAAATGAAACTAACTTTCCCTGTGGTATTACATTAGTCTGGAACTAATGATGCAATCTCAGCATCTGAGCCAAATCAGAACTGTTTGCTAAAGGCCAGCAAACATTTAGACACCTGATATTCTTTCTGGTGTCAGACGATTATTCATCAAATTTGCTACCACCTTATGACCTCTCAAATGGCACATTTATTTTTGGTACACAAAGTAATTTGGCTGTAAATGTATTGGACACATACAATGACATTATTGTTGCAACGTTGTACTTCTTCCCCTTACTGTTGATATTTGAGGTAAAACTAGGTTGGTGAGGACTAATCCATAGCCACTTTTATTTATATGTGAATTCCTTTGTTATATGCCAGAAGGCATGGACATAGATTAAGTGAGTGTCTTTCAAATATAATTTGGGACAATAGTTGTGCAAATTCAATAATGTAAATGTGATTAAGACTTGGGTTTAATCTTGTGAATGTGATGAAATGAGCTCAAGTAGGGCCCAGCTACTCAAGTGCTCAGTGTTGGAGTAAGAGTGCCTCCTTCTGGCTGTAAGCAGTTTAAACAAATTGTTATTCATAGTAGAAGTAGTAGACAAAATACAAACATTCAAAGGAAATTCTTTAAAAAAGTGCCATAAGAAACTGTTCCAATTTTGAAATGTCCTTCTCCTATGTACAGACACAACACCAAAGCATCAGTCACAGTCCAGTCTGGGGCAGAAGGGAACGCCAAACTCTGCATCTAAAACCAAAGACAAAGTGAATAAACGGAATGAGAGAGGAGAAACTCGGCTGCACAGAGCAGCAATCCGTGGAGAGGTACGGCGCATCAAGGAGCTCATCAATGAGGGAGCTGATGTGAATGTAAAAGACTTTGCAGGTGAGAGGCTGTTTTGTAGACTGTTGTTTAATTTGTGGTATATATGCAGGCATATGTCACGTACACCACTCACACAGTTATTTTTCTTGTGTTTAGGCTGGACTGCATTGCATGAAGCATGCAATAGAGGTTATTACGATGTGGCCAAGCAGCTGCTGGCAGCCGGAGCAGAGGTCAACACCAAGGGTCTGGATGATGACACCCCTCTACATGATGCATCCAACAATGGACATTTTAAGGTAAGAAAAAAAAAATTGTCAAAGGCAGTGCTGTTATTAGCAAACCAAAGAGGTAAAGCACAAAATAGCATTTTTACATTCTGAAAACAGAACCATTTATCATAAATCAATTTATAGTTTTTTTTCTTGTGATCTTTTCTTTGTCTGTCAAGCCTATTTATGGCTGTTATTTGATCATGCATGTGCTCAGGTACTAACTGTGAAGTTAGTGGCACATTACTTTATGCCCTTTGACTTCTAAATTGCAAACTACAAAAGAAATTTATAATATCACCTCTTTAACTGCAGTTCATTTATATATATAAAACTTCATTTATTCCATTTCAGGTGGTTAAGCTACTTTTGCGGTATGGAGGGGACCCACGTCAAAGCAACAGGCGAGGTGAAACACCACTGAAGGTTGCCAACTCTCAAACTATGCTGAATCTGTTGCTAGGAAAAGGCACTTACACTTCAAGTGAAGAAAGTTCGTCAGGTATGTGATATTTTATCTTTGAGTCACCCGATTACATGATAGATGGGGCTGTAAGTGTTAAAATACACCTTGTCTTACTTTTCACAGAATCTTCAGAGGAGGAAGATGCCCCCTCATTTGCCCCATCCAGCTCTGTCGATGGCAATAACACAGACTCTGAGTTTGAGAAGGGCCTGAAGTTAAAAGGGAAAACCATAGACACTCCTAAATCTGCTGTCACACCAGTCAAAGATGAATATGAATTTGATGAGGATGACGAGGAGGAACGCGTCCCTCCTGTGGACGATAAACACCTCTTGAAAAAAGACTTTCGTAAAGACTCGATCAGCAAGGCCAACAGCTTCATCTCTATCCCCAAGATGGAGGTCAAAACCTATTCCAAAAGCAACTCGCTTACACCAAAGAAAACCATCAGGCGGATCATCTCTGACAGTAACAGTTCAGATGAGGATGATAGGACGTTGTGTTTCACACCAGCGCCTACGCCACGGCAACAAGCCCAACAAACAAATAGCAAGACAAGAGATGCTGGCAGCATGAGCTCTAAACAACAGAAAGACAAGAATAAAGTCAAAAAGAAACGGAAGAAGGAGAGTAAAAATAATGTTAGTAAAGAAGTCAGGTTTGGTAAAGTCAATGACAAATTCTGTACATCTGACTCTGATTGTGGAGATATGGAGAGTGAGGATGATAAGGGCTCAAATATAAAGGATTCGTCTGCAACAAGTTTGAAAGAATCCCCAGGCTTTAATGCATCTTCCTCCTCTTCCCATGGAAACTTGAACTCTCAGAAACAAGCACCATCATTAGCAGAACAGCATCCCAAACAATGGCGGACAGATGGATGGAAGACTGTGTCATCTCCTACATGGTCAGACGTCAGTTCTCTTTCGGATTCAGTCAGAACAAGACTGTCCAGTGAGTCAGATTACTCCTCTGCTGATTCCAGTGTGGAATCAATAAAACAAGTTAAAAGGAAAGCTCAGGAGAACAAAAAGAAAAACAACAATGTGCATAGTAACACAGACAAGAAAAACTCTGAGCTCTACAAAAATGCAGACAGTGCTGTCTCCAAATCCGATATAGATGGCAAAGTGCTGAAAAAGCATAAAGTTAAGCACAAGCACAAAACTAAGGAAAAGGAAAAAGCTCCTAGCCTAGTGCTTAATCAAGACATGAATGAGAAATTTGTCAAGAGCTTTTCTTTTGATTTTGACGATTCAAGGCAGAAGTCCTTAATTGTTGAGTCAGAGTCACCAGCTGAGGGCAAAGTCAAGTTATCCAAACACGAAAAAGACCATTCAAAAAAGGAGGATAGGCTTTTGAAAAGCAAGTCTGAGGATAAGGATTGGTCATCTGGAAAAGACATCCATAGAACAGCAAAAGAGGATAAAAATAGGAAAACAAAGGACTCTGCCAAGGACAAGACAAATAAGGAGGAGAGGGAGAAACCTGTAAAATCTGACAAGGATAGAAATGTCAAAGAAAAGGAGAAGCCCAAGGAGGATAAACAAAAGACTCACAAAGAGGAGAAAAAGAAAAAAATTAAGGAAAAGTCCTCCTCAAAGGCAGACAGGAAGAGTGAGCAGAAAGAGGAAAAGCATCTAAAGATGGACAAGGAGAAAAACAGCAAGGAGGAGAAAGAAAAATGTAAAAAAGACAAAGCACTAAAGGAAGAGTCTGAGTATGAAGGCTATGATGTTAACAACCATTTCCTCAACCTGGAGGATACAAAGCTCAGTGCCTCAGATGACCATCATGACAGATGGGGCTCTGAAATGTCCTCTGATTCCTCCATCTATGGAGATGACAGCTGGGATGCTCCTGTCAAAGAGTACAAAGAATATAAAGCTAACAACACGGTAAAACTAATTGTTGAGACTGTCAAGAAAGAGACGAGGAGGAAAGAAAAGGTCAAGGACAAGAAATCGGATCACAGTGACAAAAGATCAGAGAAAGAAGCCACTTTTAAAAAGAAAGACAAAGACTCTTCAGAAAAGACAAATGACAAGAAAAAAGACTGGTCAGAAAAACAAAAATTAAATTCCAGTCACTCAGTTGAAAAAGAAAAGAAGCGGAAGGAGTCAACAGACACAGTCAAAGATAAAAAAGAAAAGGATTCTCTGGAAAACAGTCGAGACCGTAAAGACTCATATGAGTTTGTGAAGGAAAGAAAAGACATAAAAATCAAGCAAGAGCCTATAAGAGATGAATATGGCAGTGATACTTTCTTCAAAGACATTGATGCTGGGAAATTGTGTGATATCAGAGAAAGAAACCACTCTGGAAAGGAAAAAGAAAAGAAGGTTGAGGGAATGGAAAAGCGTGAAAAGACAAAAGCTGACAAGCACAAAGAGAAAACAAAAGACAGAGGAGTTGATCAGGAAAAGGACAGGAGTGAGAAAAGCTCCACAGAAAAATCTGTCAAGGAAAAGGATACAGACCGGGGCACCAAAGACAAGAAGGAGGGAGTCAAAGACAAACACAAAGAGTGTCACAGCAAAGACAAAGATCGAAAAATGTCCTCAGAACAGACCAAGGACAAGAAAGAAAAGGCTTCTCAAGATAAACATGCAGATCGAGAGAAGGATTTTTTGGAGGTAAAGAAAGAGGAAAGAAAACCCGAGAAAATCCGTGAGAAAACATGGTTCAAGATAGCTGACGTATTCACTGATGAAAGTGATGATGAGGAGGACAGCTACAATGGTGGTGTGCTCGTGTCTGACTCCATCAGAAAAGACTCAACGCCCGATCAGGATGAGCTGGATAACTTTCCTTCAGAAAAAGTGAGAAAATCTTCTGCAGAGGCTAAACATAACACTGAAAAGGCAAAAGACAAAGAACACAAAGAAAAGAAAAAAGAAAAGGCCACATTTGACACAGGTAAAGAGAGGAAAGGCTCCCTAGAGAAACACAACAAAGACAAGAAAGATTCTGTAGATGTGAAACATAAGGAAAGAAAAGACAGAATGTCAGTGGACTTGAACCAAGACAAGAAAAATAAGCAGAAGCTGTTGGACAAAAGAGACACCAGTGAGGAAAAGACAAAGAACAAATATAAAGACAAACTGGACCATTCTAAGGAAAGGAAACCATCAAAAGGCAGTGGAGAAAATGAAAAGTCCCTGTTAGAAAAACTGGAGGAGGAAGCTATGAATGACTATAAGGATGACTCTAATGACAAGAACAGTGAAATCTCTTCAGATAGTTTCACTGATAGAGGTCATGAGCCAGTCCTCACTACTTCATACTATGACTCCATCAGCTTGGCTGATGTGTCTGAGGACAGGAGAGACTCTCTGTCCATATCTACACCCCAGGACAAGTTCAGAGAGAAAGAGAGACATCGACATTCCTCTTCATCTTCGTCCAAGAAAAGCCACGACAAGGAGAAAGAAAAGGTCAAGAAGGACAAAGGAGAAAAACGTGATAAGACAGAAGAAATAAGAGAATCCTACAGCCGCCGAGAGAGCCTACCTTTTGAAAAAGAACCAATGCCTCTAGAGGCAGACCCTTACACATTCCCATATGGAGGTAAGGGAGATGGTGATGATGACTTTGAGAAAACATTGGAATTTGAAAAAGAGATGTCCAAAAAGGACAAAGACAAATCAACTGGTGTCATTGGTGATAGGGTGAAAGACAAGAAGAAAAAGGAGAAGCATAAGGAAAAACTCAAGGAGGAGAAAAATAAATACATTGATGGCTTTGGGTCATTTAAACACTCTAAAGAGGATCTGAAGTCAGGGTTGAAAGATAGCCCCCAGGTCACTATTCTGAAAGACAGGTCAAAAGAAGAAAGTCCTAAATTTGATATGAAGAAAGACAGAAATCGGGAGACATTGGACAAAGACAACAGAATGGACCACAGCAAATCAAAGGCTAAGGATGAAAATGAAAAGCTCACTCAGTCCAAAGACATGGTGCGCAAAGATAATCGTCCTCGTGAAAAACTGTTGGTGGATGGTGATTATCAAATGACAAGCTTTGGTCAGATGTTGAGTCTTAAAGACCAGGAGATTGAAGAGCGCCACAAGAGACACAAAGAAAGAATGAAACAGATGGAGAGACTAAGACCCAAGTCAGGGGACCCTAAACTTAAGGACAAAACTAAGTCCACAGAAGAAGTCCGTAAAAACCGCAGTGAGCTATCATCAAAAAAATCCAACAGCCTGGAGTCTGGTCTTAAAGAGAAGAAACTAAAGGATGTGGGTCTCCCAGCTCAAATGATGTCCCCAGGCAGGAAGTTCCAGCCTTCAGACAGTCAAAACTCAAAGGACTGGCTGGCCGGCCACCAAATGAAGGAGAACCTCCCTGCTTCACCCAGGCCAGATCAAAACAGGCCAACTGGTGTCCCCACACCAACATCGGTCATCTCCTGCCCCAGCTTTGAGGAAGTAATGCAGACGCCACGTACCCCATCTTGTAGTGCAGAGGATTACCCTGACATTATGTTGGATGGTTTGGACTGCCAGAACTCATCAGCTATGACTATGTCAATGAATGCCTGCTCCCTATCCTTCTTTGAAAGGTATCTAAATATGCAAATATACTGTACTGTGTATTTGGCTGAATGCAGCATAATTTCTAATGTTTTGCCTTTCTGTTTTCAATCCAGCAGGTACTCAAACTCCCAGAGTTTCCAGGAGGGCACCTGCCCTACCCCTGCAAAGAATCTCCAGCTGCCACTTGTCAGCCGTTCAGCATCCTCAGATGTTCGCAGGCCTTTGGAGGATGAGTTCAAAGCTGAAGCTGACAAGTTCCTTCGACAGCAGAGTGATCCAGTGGCTGACTTTGATCCGTCATCTTCCTCCCAAACTCTAGAGGATAAATCAGCAGTTGTGGATAGGGTGGAATGCCTGTCATCTCCCTATTTCTCCCCGTTGAGAATATTATCCCCTCGGGAACCAGCCCATCCAACACCAGATGTGGCAGCACCAACGCTTGCTGGCACCGAAGGTAATGAACACCTTCCTGAAAGTGTATACAATTTCTTGCCCAAACCTTCTACACCAATTCACAGGCCAGACCCTCAGGAGCCATGCTTTGACATCGCTGCACCACCAACCCCAGCTCCTGCCGCTTTGCCACCCCTGGACATCGATGATATCTCTGAGCCTCACCATAGTGAGCCTAACCTGGTCCTTTCAGATCTTCCTTCTGTCACAGAGGAACAGGAAGAGGAGGAGGATGAAGAAGAGGACGAGGAAGAGGAGGAGGAGGAGGAGGAGGAGGAGGAGGAAGAAGAGGCAGAAGGTGAAATGGATGAGAGGGTTGACAGAGACCATTGTACAGTGGAGGAGCCTGAACAAACAAGGGAACCATGTTCTTTCTCCCCTCAAGTTGAGGACCCTCTGAGGAAGAGCTGGCCTGCAGAGTCTCCAGACCAGCAGGACCAAGATGTCCACCAGCTTTCCCCCATACATTCTGTACCCAACCATGGAGAGAACTGTTTTGATCATACCATGGGTTGGAACCCTGATATAGACCTCAAATCTCCCCACAGAACATATGGGGAGATAGAAACTGCTGTCTCCAAAATAACCAGTCTATACTCCCATTCAGACAGTGACATGCAACACTTGTCTGGACACCCCTCTCTCACCTCTCCTTATGCTACCTGGAACAGGTGGCACAAAGAGGACCCAGAAGACTTCAATGAGCAGAAGGAGGCTGTTGCTGACATCCCCTCTCCAGAGCGACCTGACACAGCTTTGGATGGGGAACCCAACTATTTGAACACCTCATCATCCTCCAATAGGCTGGAGTCTTTCTTCCAGGACTGCAACAAGCCTAGCATGGGGGATAGTCACCAGATGGACATAGAGTCAACATGTGTAGAAGCAGACAGCAGACAGAGCACACACAGCTTTAGTGCTGCCACAGATGGCCACCTGACTCCACCTGTGGGTCCTGAGCCTGTAGTGCCCTGGGCAGACCCATTCTCATCTGATGCAGATGACCTGGGACTGTTCTCCTTGCCTGAGCTACCACTACCAGACAAGCCAGAAGAAGCTGAGTCTCGAGACCTTGAACTAGCTGACCACAGTAAAACTGTGTCGCCCCACATCAGACATTCTGTTACAGACAGAGATGACCCAGACATAATGGAGGTGGACCTACCAAGTCTGGCTAAGACTTCATGCCCTGCTGGAGACCTAGGTTTAGGAGAACCTACTGGACAAGACTTAGTTGTACCATCACCACATGCCAACTTCCAACAAGAGTTGGACCCTGAACCTCAAAGTGTCCCAATCAACAGCTCTCTCTCTCTTACACAACAGCAGGGCAGCATGTTGGAAAGAAAAGGACCTTATGGGGGACCTGATGAGTTGGATCCTAACATGTTGTATTCATCTGTGAAATCAGATACCAATCAGCAACATCACATACAGATCCACTCCCTCACCGAGTCGTTGCAGTTACCCCTGGATCAATTGTCTGCTGTCAAAACAGAGATGAGACAGGATGAGATGTCGGAGCCTGTGGCAGAATCCCTGACATGCAGCCCTCTTCCTCAGCTCCCAGTGGCAGTCACCCTTTCCAGCACAGTGGAACTACCAGACACTCAGGAGACCATATCAAAGCTAACGCCAGTAACTCTGACCACTGTGTCCACCATTGTAGATATCCCCAAGAAGGTGGATGAAATCCCTCAAAGGATGACCCGCAATCGCGCCAAGAATAATCCCTCTGCTGCTGCTGTCCCTCCTACCTCCAGCATTATAACCTCATCTGCCGTTACCACCCCTGTAACAACCAGTCCAGCAGTAAGCATTAACCCGATTCCTACTAGAACCCCGACACCCACCTCAGCCTCTTCTTTCTCAGCTTTGAAGAAAGACAAAGAATCTGTGCTTAGTGTCTCTTCTACTGCATCTAATTCAACGCCAGCTGTGTCTATACCTTCTTCTGTGACAACTTCTGCGTCAGTGGTTCTCAGTAAGACGACAAAAGGCCGCCCTCTCCCAGTGGATGAAGAGGAATCTCAGACCCAGCACCCACGAAAGAGGAAATTTCCACGTTCTGCTGGGCAGCAGGTCCAGGTCCAGCTGGTAAACACAGCCATGCAGCAGACCAGGGAAATGATTCAACAGACTTTGGCTGTAGTAGTCAATGCCATCAAGCTGGATGATATTGAGCCCTACCACAGTGATCGTTCAAACCCTTACTTTGAGTACCTGCAGATCAGGAAGAAGATTGAGGAGAAGAGAAAGATTCTGTGCTACATCACGCCACAGGCCCCGCAGTGTTATGCTGAATATGTGACCTACACTGGCTCCTACCTGCTGGATAGCAAGCCCCTCAGCAAGCTTCACATCCCAGTGGTAAGTTATGGAATCTTTACTTTTCCCCTAATGATAAAAGTGGTGACTACGTTTAAAATAGTTTTTTCTAAATATAAATTCTGTACCTTACTATAGAACTGTAATCAAAGTTTGTGGATGTTTTGTTTTAATAGGGGTCAGTAGGTAGATAACTGTGTGTTGTGTTTGCTATTCAGATTGCTCCACCTCCATCACTGTCAGAACCTCTGAAAGAGCTCTTTAGACAACAGGAGGCAGTACGGGGGAAGCTCAGATTACAGCACAGCATAGAACGGGTAAGGAATATGCTCATTAAACGTGTTCATGCTTTTTACATCTCATTTTCTAGGCACATTCTCTGTCCTTATTTTACTCATTGATCACTCCTTGTCCGTACTTTCATACATACAGCTACACACGTGCGCTGAATGCTTTGAGCACCTCTTTGATCAATGTCTCTGTTAATATAAATGCAAGTGGAATCTGCATATCCCCAACACCCAGGTTTAGACACATCTCTTCCTGTGAACCATGATTAGCAGCTTTGCTGATCAAGACCCATTTCAGTAACCTTACCACTTAGCCCATTGGTCAATCTGACATCTAGCCTTATATATCTATTATACATTTTGTCTCTTTTGCTTACTATTCACAGGAGAAGCTGATTGTCTCATGTGAGCAGGAGGTTTTAAGGGTCCATTGCAGAGCAGCCAGGACAATAGCCAATCAGGCTGTGCCGTTTAGTGCCTGCACCATGCTTTTGGACTCTGAAGTATACAATATGCCATCAGAGAGCCAGGTAGGACATATGTAACTATGCACTTAAAGTGTCAAGTTAGTTATGACAGACTTTATTAGACAATGGATTCAGTTAATCCATTACTTGGTCTACATTGTAATTTGGTCTGTGTTCTCAGGGTGATGAGAACAAATCTGTGAGAGATCGCTTCAATGCTCGTCAGTTCATTTCCTGGATTCAGGATGTGGATGATAAATATGACCGCATGAAGGTAAGCACCACAACTCTGCACTCGTTTAATATGTGCTTTTATGTCTTCATTTAAAGGCATCGTTACCAGAATCGGTGTATAGACCCTAACATTTATGCTTGGCTTCTTCTTCCCAGACGTGTTTGTTGATGCGGCAACAGCATGAGGCAGCAGCCCTGAATGCAGTGCAAAGGATGGAGTGGCAGTTGAAAGTCCAGGAGCTGGATCCAGCAGGGAACAAGTCCCTCTGTGTCAACGAAGTGCCGTCCTTCTATGTGCCAATGGTCGACGTCAACGACGACTTTGTCCTGCTGCCTGCGTGACACACCTGTGCTCACAGATAGAGAGCAAACTTTGCCTGAATCACTTCTTCTCAAAGAGACTTCGTTGAATAGAACGAATGGAAAGGGCTAGCAAGTTTAAAAGAGGACTTTAGACAGGAAAAAATTATATTCTGTAGAAAAAGAGTATAGATGAAAAACTTGCTCTTAATTCCCTTCCGTGAAGAAGGAAATGTGTTTTTACTGGCGAAAAAGAAAATACACAACTTGCACTTTCACCCTCAAAGTTTTTACGTTTATGTTTGATCAGAGTGTGAGAAGCAGAAATGGTTTTTGGTTTGAGGCTCTGACATCAGGACACAACAGGGGACAGAGGTATATTTTCTTTGTTCATTTTTGGTCCCTGCTTCAATAGACCCACCACCACCACTGGGAGGAGGTAACAGAAAAGAGCTATCCAGACAGCGTGGTGCCTGTCCTGAGGGTGGACTGAGGAGGAGCCTCCCTTGTTGACCCAGGACTCCTGGTGGGCCAGCTGAACTAGACAAGATCCAGTGCTAGTGGCTAGAGTCATGGTGGCTCTTCAATGTGTATCTACAGCAAAGACAGCTGGAATGGACAGACCAGGAGGCTAGAATCAGATGCTGGTGGTTTTGGGGCTATAAGATAGTACACCCAGAGGACGCCCTCTCTCTCCACACTGCAGCAGGTTGGAATACAGCTGAGGGTTAGTGATGTGTGTACATCAGGGCCCAGTGTCTGAGAGGAAGAGACTGAGCGTGCGGCCTCTCAGTCTGGCTAAGCGGAAGAGGACCTAGATCTCTGAGGACAGACCGGAGTGTTCCTCAGCCACCTGACTTGCTCCAACACAAACACAATAGACCGCCATAGACTGCAAAAGCACGACAGGACAAGCAAAAGAAACAAACAATGAATGTTAAGATTCAAAGAGACTATTGAGAAATTGTGGTTTGGCAGAAGGAGAGAAATATTGTTTTTGTCTATTTCTTTACTTGGGCATTTCATTGTTTCTGAGAAAGTGACTTGAAACACTACAGAGCCAATATTAGTTTAATGGAAAAAAACAAACAAAAGAAAACTGAAAAAAAAGTTGTATTCCGTAAATTATGTACAGTTTTTATATTCGTTAACCAATGTATTCTTGCTGCCTTCTAGATAATTTATTTTGCCACACATTGCTGCACAGTTGTAAATAACCTATGTACTGTAATATCACTCAGTTAAGTGTAAAGAAAAAAACATAAAAGTAAATAAAATAAAAATTATCTTTTTATGTACAGTTCATTCTTGGGCAGCACTCCTCCCCCCCCTCACATCCATGGGCCAAAATGTGTACACGACTCTGTCAGTATTTGAAAGACTCCAGTGCACAGTTGTAAGATCCCATCTCCAGATCCAGTCAGGGGTTAGGTAAAGTCAACCGAATGTGTCTCACCACAACACGCAAATAGCTGACAGAACACGTCTGGATTCACCTGGCCTCCCATAGGTCGACCACTATAGAGTCCCTCAGATGTAGCAGAATAGTTATTGAGGATTTATTTAAAGAATACACAGAGGATTATTATTCATTGCTTTACTACACAATTATATCTGAAAAATTTCAAACCAAGAAAATGCCTTTGTCAGTAGAAAAAAAATGTACTCATTGTTGGGCAAAGTTACATACATATATGTGAAGAAAGAGAGATGTCATTCACAAGCAAAACCATCATGTTTATGTAGTGGTTTCAAATTTATTTTTTTGTTTTAATGTATAAAAATTGGACCGAAATCATTTCTAATCATCACAAAACAAAACATGACTGTCTAAAGTCAACCAGACACAGGTCTTTCAGCACTTATTATACATATTCTGTTCTCGTAGCCTGTCTTCTCTTCACAACTGCTGAAAGGTTTCATTCCATACTGACTTTAAACATTGTTTTGCCAGTCTGTCTGCCCTTTGTTCAGCTTATTTTCCTGGTGTTGTTCCAGCTTTACTCACTGGATGGCACCATTGCTCGGTGTGTCAGAAAACTCAAGAACCTTATTCATCTTTGCATGAGACCTGTGGCCTTTCACTTAAATGGGTGTTTTTAAATATATTAATATTTTATTACAGCCCGTAGGGAGTTCAGTTCCCTTATAGGATCCTAATGCGACACCTTGACCCGTTTTACTCGTCAGCGAAATTGTAATAGGCTCAAAAACATTTAGAGCCAGTAACACCTAATACTTTTTTATAAATGTTTAATCAGTGCTTGACTTGTTTTGTCAGGGATTTTAAATGTTAGGTTACGTCCTCATAGTGCTCCATTGTGTGGTGGTATTTTGCCATAATTGTTCTGGTGTCAGGCCCAAGCAGACAGTTACAAGGCTTACATCTTAAAGTGAACCAAAAAGGGAACAGACATCGACACAAACAGCAGAGGGGAAGGCAAGAGCTTATAGCTGAAAAGACCGGTTTTGTTTTTAAATTGTCCTCAGTCCCAAATCCCATTGAATTGTTGTTTTGTAATGATTGTGATATTGATTCTATATTTTTAGTGGGCCTTGGTTTTGAAAAGCTTTCCTGACCTACCACATAGGCTGCCTGTCTGTGTGTGAGAGCTGCTCATGTATCCTGATGGCAATATTACCTGAAACGTTTGAGTTATTTACACACTGTCAATCAGTGTAGCTGTGTATGGTATGTCTGGTCAAGTGCAATGGTTGTTGCTATTACACTGTGCAGACAAGGTGGTTAGATGTATAGTCCTGGATATTTTTGAGAGATTCACACAACCTGGTTGATATACTTACATATTTGGATACAAATAGCCAGAAAATGTTTTTGTTTTTTTTTTAAACCCCCTGTTTGTCTTGATTTGTTTTTATTTAGTTGTTGGGTTCTTACAGTTTTTGGGAAGAGGGTTAAGGGCGTTTTTTTGTTCACAAAATCCTTGTGTGTGTGTTTCTTAGCTCAGTGTATGTAGTTCTGAATGTTGTGTTTATCTTAAGGGTTTTGGTTCCTGTATAAAGCATAAACTACAGAGGCATGTCAATCACATTGCTTATCGAGCAGAATGTATACCGTTATTATGCCCTGACCGACAACATCCTCTCACTATTGTTTACAAGAAATCAAGTGTGTTTCTGTTTTATGTGTCACCATTTAATGGTTTAAGCCCTGCCTTTGTTTTTACTTCTGTAATCAGTCATTTATGTGAACCACAAAGGCTTGAAATGGTGATAGCTGACACAAGTGACAGGCAACCTCTCCCCCAGTCTGCGGTACACCGCTGCACAGAGCAATAGACTAAACACATCCATCTGCTTTGCTTCTCCAGTGTGAATATGCATCTAATAGTGATTTCTGGATCAATTTGAATACAGACACAAACACACGTTAGTGCTCAGATGCACAGTAGAGCACTTGGCCGTGGTGATACAGATGCTAGCCTGACACCACCTCAGTCAACAACATATTACCTCTACTCTCCTCACATTCACTCAATGTTTATTTTAGATTTATTATTTGTGGGGGGGGTTTCCTTACTGGACATAATTATACATAGGTATTTTTTCATCATATAGAATCACGATTTCAAGCCTTTTTAGTTTTCTTTAGTGTTTTTGTTCATTAAAACCCAGACTGTAGCCGTTTCTTTGTTCCTTTTTTAGAATGGAAGATGACTAATAAAAAGCATGGAGAACTACTCTTTAAATGATGAGAAATTACCTATTTATTATCTTTTTTTTCTGACACCTGTGGTATGTTTTGAGTTAAAGTTGGTCTCCGCTGTGTAAATTTTCCTCCTTGTAATGCGTGAAAGAGACATACTGTACATAGCTTTGTAAATAAATCCTCCAGGACGTTTTGCACCCTCCTCTTTGTACTAGTCTGAAAAGTTGCGTAGAATGTGGGGTTCTAACAGCAACGAGCTGCGTGCGCTCGCTGCAGGTCATTATGATGTAACAATGTAACTTTTTTTATTTGTACAATGTAGTTTGTGTACATATTGTTGGAGCAGCTAAGGGGGGGAGGGTTATGACGGGGTTGTTGATGCTATCGTCAGTGCTGTAACAGAAATCCAGTACTTTCACCTCTAGCTGTTGTTGATTTCCTGCAAAAATAATAATAATAAATAAATAAATAAAGGAAAAAAGATAAAAAAGCAAAAATGAGAGAAACTGAAAATGAGGATGGATGGGGAAAAAAAATCAAACAAAAGTAAAAATTCTAAATTGTTATTTTCTACAGTTGCATGTACAGAGAGCGCAAGAACTGCTGTTGTTCCTCAGAGATTATGTTCGTTAATAAAATTTTGAAATCCTACCAGTCGCCCTCAGCTTCTTGGTTTTCTCTTTGCATCGTCTGCATCATGATGTAAAAACTACTGGTATATAACTGATCGTTACATTGCCACTGATCATTTTTTAATGCACCCAAAATATATTCACTCAAGTCAAAATAAGACTACATTAGAACATGTACATTTAGACTAACATTTACTGTAATATAATATCCAATCAAACTACAGCGGTGATGCTCGAGACACGTTTCTGTTGACAGCCGGACGAGGCATGTGTGCCATCTGAAATGTACATGTGAACTACAGATGTTTCATAGCCTGAGTGTTTAAAATGCCTTCTCTCACTTGGCATCCACATTTGGTACATGTAGTAATCCTACACCCTGGAACAGTTCACTCGCTCAACCTGAATGTCTCTGTTCAAAATCAGATTTCTGTATAGATCATAATTAACCTGTCATGTCATAGCACACAGCCTAGAATTACAGACAACCACTTAATATGCATTATTTAACTTTAAATCATTTTATGTAACTCATTCGTTGTGGAGTCTTGTCAGATGACAGATTACCAAATGTGTATGGCTTGCACTCCAAGTAACATTATAAATTGCACTGTCACAAGGTAAAAAAAAACTTTGAGTCATCACCTGGATGTGCTGTAATTTTTCAAATACATCAGCTCCTTGTAATTTGGTATATTTAATATTTGGAAATATGAGTGTTAACTTTTCATGTATCAAATCAGAATCTGACAAAACAAATATAAGTCATGTTATATTGCAGACCTGCAAACTATACATACTGTATTAGTGCTAAGCTTTTCTAGATCTTGTGTCTACCTGATCACACAACTGCTACTGTCAACACAACTCTACCCTCTCTGAGAGCTCTGCATATCACTGAGACAAACAAAAACAATATGATAAACATCACTGGTTTAGTTATGCAGTGTTTGTTGAAACACATTTACAGTGCTTTACATGGATACATCTATAGAAATTGAGTTAAGTTATTTAGCAAGATCTCCCAATAATCAAATTTCTGTATTTTGCCTTTATCTGTCATTCACTTTGTGATATTGGAAATAAAACAGACCTCATATCAGAATGGTCAAAATTGTAAATGTTTTATTAAGAATTGAGTCAGATATCAGATGTTAGATTTTCAGACATGTAGTGTATTATATGAAGAGACAAGGAAAATATTTGCACTAATTAACCTGTGAAAACAGTAGTATAATATCTCCAAAGGCTTTGTGGGGAAAGCCTAATGAAATGTTCTCTTGAGTTGCATTATGGGAAACGTAGGAGCTGTGTCTTTGGAGCTTGACCCACAGTCAAGCCAAAGTATAAAAGTTGGGATATTTGAGCCTTTTCTGTTCCAGTTTTGACAGTTCTTTTTAAATTGGTCACACAGCTACACCTCCATGGAAGTTACTAAATCACTGGAATACCAGCAACTAGGATTTTAGATTGATTTAAGCAGGTGAGATGTGAAGAACACTGGCTGCTAAAATCAAAGCGTTATATTTTTATCAGTCTACCACTGAAGTGAAAACAGTCTTCGTGGCAAGTTCAGCTATGATGCACTGAGTTATATGGACTCGAGAAGACATGATGATACGGTCACTGACAGAACTCTGTTAACTTTACCTCTGACCCAGCTGTTCTGTCAGTAACTGGACTCCAGGGACATCCAGAATCGAGTTACCCCAAGTTTAGGTCCTAACCAGCCACAGGTGTGTCACCGGTAGAGTCCCAATTCCTGGAGCCTCCGCCCTCCGCCCTCCTCCTCCTCCCCCCGTGCGCTTTACCTGCTGCGCGCAGTCCAGCGGACACGTTTACTGCGCACTGACCACAGAAACATATGTTACCGTGAACAGTCGTCTACAAATGGATTATGAGACGAAGATTTTCCCGCACACCGGCGGCTATGGACGCTACAACCGAATCGTGGTTGTATTCAGCTGGTTCCCCAGCTTTGCGGTCATGCTGAATTTATTTAGCGACGTTTTTTACACTCTGATTCCGGAATCGTACCACTGCAAACCCGACCCGGAGCTTCTGCCCTCCACCTTCCTTCCCAGCAACTTCTCCAGACAAGAATACTTGAAACTCGCCATCCCCTGGGTGAACGGCACCGGGCTCAGCCACTGTGAACTCTTCAAGTATCCACCCAACACCTCGGACTTTACCAAAGATGTGCCCAGAGAGAGGGTGCCCTGTACCAAGGGGTGGGAGTACTCTAACCTAACGGGACTTCAGAGCAATGTTGTCACTGAGGTAAGATAGCTACACGTCGTTCTGCTCTGTGTGGGAGCTTGGTTTGAAATGTGGACTTCTGGAAGAGTTGAACCAAGGCCTGGAACTGATCTGAAGTTAGTTTAGCCAGAGTTTTAGGCCGAACTAGGCGCGGCCATGCATCTACAACAGCTTTTTGGATCCAAATGGACTCCGGGTTGTTGCTTCTATCCACGTTTTAATTTACCACACCACGGGAGTTGGTTAGTAGATAGGAACAGTTAGTATTTCTCTAATGTAAAGAGAGAGAATGGCCTTGGCTGTATCCCAACTAATTTAATTTCTTGGCCTTGCTCCAAGGTGGTGGTGCTGAACTGGATTAGTTCTAGTTTCCCTTTAATAAAGGCAGTTTATCTCTGCGGGAAGCATGTGTGGCCATGAGGACGGCAGTTAGCGGCATTCAGGTAATATTTGTCCAGGTTAAACATCTAAATGTTTATTATTGCCCACGGTTGTTTTCACTCACTAATCTGTTGTCTGGCACCCTGTTTCCCGTGATGTAGACGAACTCCATTAGGCTTTTACACTGAGGTTTTGGCTCTAATAAGAAAAGGAAGTGCAGTGGAGTTTACCTTCAAGATGTCTTTTTACTCTTGGCTTATGCTTCCAAACTCAGTATAGATCTTATTTAATTGTCTCTTATACAGACAGTACCTTTATATATGATTGTGACTTGTTGTGCAACCTGTCTAATAGACAGCAAAAGTTTGTTTGCCTTCTCTCAGTTTCATTGGCCTTTGTTACTTAAGGATCCGTCCCAGTCTGCAAATATTGATAACAAAAATCTTTCTCAGTGTGTCCTTAAGCAAACGCCTGACACAAAGGAACTGCATGTTTTCATGCAACACACAGTGAAAGAGCAGCAGTGTTTGATGCAGTCTCTGAATCCAGTAGTGAACTGCAGTGGAAAGTGGGGGCTTGCAAGCAGGACCAAGTCATTATGGGTAATTGCCCCCCAGATTATTGTCTGTTTATCTTGGCTTTAAGGAAACGGAAACAGGCAGGGAGGGAACTTCTCCTCCTTTTCCACTACGACAAACTGTGGCATTAGGAAGTATGAGGCCTGTGTTCTTTCCTGAGACCCCGAAGACGTCCTTCACTAGCAGCAGCTTCCTCTTCCCAAACATGAATACAATACAATTGTCCTTCTCACCTTTGAATGCAGGGGTTGAGGAAAACGGAGAGGTGTTAGAGTCCAGATGTCCTGCACTTTGAACCGATAAAGTTCTTTTCTTTGTGAGGCAGAATTGTTGATTGGAGGGTTGAATGATTGTTATAGAGTTGGTGAGGATCTCTTTGCTAAAGCCGCTTTGATTAGCTTGGAATATGTGGTCATGTTTTTCAGGCTTTACAAAGTTTCTGTGATCATTTCAACCAGCAGTTCAGACCACAACTTTAGTTAAATTGGTAATTATATTGTACATATTCCTAAATGAATTTGTGTGTAAAATAACCACACAGCAAACATTGCAGCATATAATGTTCCAGTACAGGATTACTGACCACAACACACACACACACAGAGGTGCTGAGGGAGTGATGGGGGATTAGTAGGGGTGTGAAGAAGTCTCATGTTGTTCTTGCAATAAAGTGTTCTCTGTACAAGTGCTGCTGAAGCTCTTTGACCTCTGTGCAACTTGAAGCAGTTGTCCCAGAAATCCCCTGTGTGGTTAACAGGGGGTCCAATAGTTCATGTTTGCTTCAGGGCCCTGTTGCACATTAATCTTGCCATGTCTCTAATTTGGGTTATGTCACCTTCACTGTTAAAAGTGGTAACTGTTGGACCTCTCCTGACTTGAGCCATGCTATTGACCAGTATTGAATGTAATGGCTCGTTTGTCTAGCGAGTTTGTATTTGTGATCTAGACTACGGTAACTCCTGCCTGAAAGTCTGCAGTTGTAACACTGTAAAACTGCTGTGTATCCTGTGACAAGGAGTCTCAAAAATCAGAATAGCATGGCAAGCATGGGGAACACACATTATCAAAGTACAGCAGTACTTTGGTCATATTACCAGAACCTGAAGAACACCTATGTTGGGCTGAAACGGCACTGCCTCTAGCGTGTGGGTCATTTTAATGTCCTGACTGGTACTGTAGTGAAATGCCATATCTTCACATAGAGAGCGCTGCTTCGTTCTAATGTGATAACACTGTCTGCAGACATCTTGACTCATTTAAGAGAGTTTTCCTCACAGAAATCTCTCTGTGTTTGGTGACTTGACTGGTAGCCTGCTATTCTCTGCATCTTATGTGGTTAAATTACATGGAAGCAAAGAAAAACTAGCCAGGACCCAGTGATATCAGGCTTTAAGTGTCACCTCATAGAAAGCAATGCATTGTCCCCCTGTTTTGCAAGAGACTCAAACACGGAGATGACATGGACACTGTTTCACAACCAAGTCTTAAATCTCAGGTCCTGACATCTCTTACTACTCTGTGCCATATACCTCCATTGCTGTTCAGAACTAATACAATTACACTGAGTCACACTGAGGTGAGCAGTGTAGTTTATTTTGCACCGACATGCCATTCTCATCTATAAACGCTCACTGGAGCACCAAATGTGTATTAATGCAGTATTTTTTCTGTTACTAAAAGCTACTGTACCCAGCTGGTCTGGACCAGGTGGCTGCTAACCACATGGAACATTCCCACTGAAAGCTTAAGATGTTGCACAACCATTTTTCTTGTTTTAAACCTAATTGAATGACACTCCTCTATTTTTGAGGCTCTTTTTCCCAAGTTAATACTGAGTTTTGTTTTGGTCTGAGAACGTTCTTTGTCTCCCTTTGCAGTGGAACCTGGTTTGTAGTGATTACTGGAAAATCCCTTTGCAGCAGCTCTGCTTCATGACAGGATGGATTCTGGGATACATCTTCCTTGGTACATTGTGTGACTGGTAAATAATGATTATTTCATATGAAACTCCAAAGTGTTCATTATCGTGCCCAGTTGTTATAGAATTTACATTTCATAGCAGCACAGTTTGAAAGCTCATGTCTCATGTCTCACGCTCAGCTTTAAGAAAAATCTGTCAGAAATTGAGTTCAATTTAAAAATTAATTGCAAAACTTAAATACATTTGGACATTAGACTGGCACAAATACTATCAATAGAGTCAATGTTCTTTTCAAATTTAGGTTGCTGTTACTTCACAACACAGACTTGTTATGGTGATTCATAAAAATCTAATCAATCTTTTGTACAGAAAGCTGATCACACCTCTGCTATATCCTTAAGCAATGAAATATTTTATGTGCGACTCATTTCTTTAATATTAAACTCCTCCATAAATGCCTACAAGCAGGCGCCTGGTGTGTGTAGTGACCTGTTGGATCGTCTCAGGGCTTCTGGCTCAGTCACAGAGGTGTGTTTACTGCGAGCCGTAAGCTGCTCGTTCATCACAAATGATAGATCTGATAGATTCACTGCCTTTCTGAGAACTCCTCACCCACAGAACTCACACTGGATCACAATGGGATCATTTTAAAGTCAAAGTGAAACAGTTTTTAAAGAGGATTCATTCGTGTAGTTGTGAATGATCTGGTCCTCATCATTTCATGGTTCTAGTATTGTATCATTGTGTTACTTATGCTGTTCTTGGTGTGTTTATGTATTTTAAAGGCCTATTTAGGGATGAGCATAGTAAATTAGCTTATACGCTGTGTGTGTGTGTGTGTGTGTGTGTGTGTGTGTGTGTGTGTGTGTGTGTGTGTGTGTGTGTTTCCCCACTGAGAAAATCTGGTGTTTTGCTTTTCTCAGAGGAGCTGGTCTGTAAGTCAGCTGCCTTTAATGTTCTCTCTTCCCCTTGATGCGCAGTCCGTGTACCTGGATAGCATAACAGACAGGTCACATGTGCAGCAGAATAAATAAAAGGTGGTGTTAGTTTTTGTCTCATTGTACTTTGTGTATTTAGAGCAGCTGTCAGCTGATTCAGAATTACTTTGACTAATTGTTGCTTTACCTAATGGGCGTTATCTTAAAAGGCAGGGGGCATGATTAACCTGAAAGGTGAAGGGACAATCATACCACTGGCATGAAGACTGACATTAAAAAAATAAAATATTATTACTATTATAAAGTGACATTATGAAATAAAACGTCTCAATGGGGGAATTATAAAGTAAAAACAAGACTTTTTAAATAAAAATGACATTTAAAAAGAAATTATGAAATAATTATGACGAGTTGGTAATTTTCCTGTTATATTTTACACAATGACTTATTTTATAATGATATATTTAATATTGGACATTTTGAGGACCGATAGTTTAAATGTGCACGTGTGTTTTCAGGCTGGGTCGTCGGCGAGGCTTCCTCCTGTCCATCAGTTTGTCCAGTCTGTTAGGAGCAGTCGCGTGTTTGTCCAGAAGTGCTGTGGTGTTTCTGCTGCTGCGTCTCTCTCAAGGCGCTACGCTCGCCGGGGTGTTTGTATCCTCCTACATTGTCAGTGAGTATCCTGCACACACACACCCAGTCCTCTCCAGTCTACAACCCATCTGTGATGAACCTTATCTCCCCTTATTCAGTATAGCGCTCTCTGTAGCGAGGTGTCCCTGGTTGGTAGGGATACACTGTGTGTTAAATACAGTGCGTTTTCTTTCTGGAACTGTCAGCAGAACAGTGAAGCAGCATGGGAATGCAATTATGTGTGTAGAAGCATTACATGTTTGTGCATAGGAGGACATGGTACTAGGGAGTAGAGTGTTAAAGTGGTCCCATCGGTTAAACACGCACACTTTTTCTGTTTTTGATGTAGTGAACATACTCCCACATTCCTGAGAGGTCAGGGTTAGATTGAGTCCAGATTTTTTAAATATTTTATTTTATTTTTGTTTTGCTGATGTTGGGATGGGTAGGGTGAGGGCCTGAGTGCAGCGCTGCTTGGTGTTGTCATGCCAGTGCTGCTGCTTCACAATAAATGAAAAACAGTAGTAGGACAGAAGCGGAGGTGTTAAAGTGAGCTCCTTGTTTTCCTTCTTCACCCCTTCGGACAGGGAAGAGGTGGAAGGAGAGTCAGAGCTGTGGGGGAAAGGGGTTAAAGTTCAGTGGAAGCTCACATGGAAATTCAGACGACCTCTCAGACAAGTTTACGTCGACACATGAGCTTTATCTCCTCTTTATCCCCTTTATCTCCTGGCAGCATCATTTAGCTGGTTGAACTTTGCATTTGTGTTTTTCAGAGGGTATGTTGAATTTTGTTTTGCTTTGAACAAACAGATTTAGGTCCCACATTACAGGATTTAGTTTCTGTTATAGGACATTGCAAGACATTTCCTATACACCTCAGGTCTGGGCAACCCAGAGCTGTGAGCCAAGTAAAATACATAATGCAACAACCAGTAGCTTTATGTGTGCAGGGGTCATGCCCCGACAGGAAACACATTGGTTTTGATATGATTTTGTCATTGCTCACTCTCTCTTTTCCCACTGCCTTCTCAGGATTGGAGCTGTGCGACCCTCCCCATCGTCTCATGGTTGCCATGGTCAGCGGCTTCTTCGGCGTGTTCGCAGAGCTGCTGTTGCCGGGCGTCGCTGTTCTGTGCCACGATTGGCCCATTCTCCAGGCTGTGGCCACTTTGCCTTTGCTCCTACTGCTTTCCTATTGGTGGTGAGTCAGGTGGCAATATTTGGGTTGTGCAGGTCAACACTTCATGTTTGGAGAAGTATTAAGGGAAGTTCATTATCTTACAGTGGTGTTCATTGTGTCAGTGTCAGATAATTTGTTACTGGATGTTTGATACAAATGGGCACCAGGTCCTTATAAGCAGAAATATGTTCAGATTAACATTACTGCTGGTGTGCTTATTTACATCATTAGTGACAGTAATCCAATGCACTAAATTGAAAAATTGTCATGATACAATATTTTGCACACCAGCCATACTTTGTAACAGGTTTAGTAAATATAGCCCTCTATGTTTGTCACCCCTTTGTATGTCTGCAGCCTGGAGTTGCTCTTGTTACAAACTTCGCCTTCTAACAGCCACACATGAATTCGTTTAAATAAATAAATTCCTACTGGGCTAAGGCTTGTGAAAAGCACTCAAGAGATGGTTTAGTTAGTAATTCAGGGAGTCTCACTGAGATGCAGATTACTTTCTCAAAGAGCAAATATACAACCAGTGGTGGAGGAAGTACTCAGAGCCTTTTACTTAAGAGTAGCAATACTGCAGTGTAAAAATACTACAAAAGTAATGGCATCAAAATATACTTATAGTAGTACAAGTAAAATTAGTCAGAATGGCACTTTTCAAATAAATGCATATTATATTATTGGATTATAGTTATTGATGTATTGTTTACATTTTTTATGTTGCAGCTGGTAAAGGTGGAGCTAATGTTGGCTACCTTAATTAACTTATTTTTAGCTAATGTTAAATATCTGGGCAGGGTCATCAGGGAGGCTGTATAAATGAAAACACAGGCATGCTGATGCCTTCGAGGTGACAGTTATACAGTGATGTAAACTAATGATGCCATGACAGTTTTTGCTTTATTCATGTTGTTGGATATTGTTTGTCCTCTCTGTCTCTGTAAGTTATGATAATGGTTTCTTCCTCAGCTGTTCATCTGTGTTTCCCGAATCTCCTCGCTGGCTGCTGGCCACAAATCGGATCTGTCGGGCGAAGAGGAGCCTCCAGGAATTTTCCATCAGGAACGGCGTTTGTCTGCGAGATGAACTCTACCCCGGTGAAACCCTGCTCTCAGGTACAAGTGTACAAACTCCCCACTCCAGCTGTTATGAGATGTTTTCATTCATTAGAAAAGTCAAAAACAATGTGCACCCCCCAGTTTCATGTAAACCATTTTAATTTGAACAAGCTACTATAATACTGGGGGTATGAGCAAGAAAACAAGCATTATCTAGATATGACATTAGCCAGAACTTAAATGGGATGTTTTCATGTTATGTTTCCTATGTAAATGGAAAAAAATTTACATTTTGCAAACTTGCCAAACCATTTATTTCTGTAGACATAAGGCTTTCCTCCTACAGAGACATTGAAAAGCAAGAAAGGCTCAGTCGTATTATGAATTTGACTGATTTGAAAGCAATGCCTGTTTTCTGTTCTAAGTCAGTTTATCTCCTGCTTCATGTGCTGTTTTAAAATCCTTACAGCTGAAAAGCTGTTTATCTCAAATGCAAAGGTAACATAACCAGTGTAAGAGCAAAGAATCAGCATTCATGAATTCTGTACTGTCAAGAAAAAGGCAGGGTTGAGTGGATTTGGATCATTTAGCCCAGTCTTATCTAAATATCTTTAAGCTGATTTTAATTAACTTTTTATTTTGTGTCTATAGAGATAGACTCGGCATACGGAGATGACAGTCGGCCGAGGTACCATTCAGTTCTGGAGCTGCGTCGAACTTGTGTTATCTGGAAGAACTGCCTCATACTCAGCTTTACTCTGTAAGTTTTTATTCTCCATGTTTCAGCTTGATTAAAAGATACACACTCTGTGGTATAAGACATCTGTACACATTGTACAGCGCCAGTCATACTGAAGGTGCCTATGGTCCAAGTCGCTCTCCCCCCCTCCCTTTCAGGTTCATTGGAACAGGCATCCAGTACTGTTTCACCAGAAATCTGCATAGATATTCCACCAGCTTCTACTTTGGCTACTTTTTTCGAGTAATAACTGGAGCACTGGCCTGCATCTTCATCTGTTTGTCTGTCAATCGCCTTGGGCGACGCGGTATGCTACTACTGTCGGCCATCATCACTGGGCTGTCATCGCTGCTGCTGCTGGCCCTCACACAGTGTACGTCTACATCCTGTGTTCACAGCATTATTTTACTTTAGTGACATTTGCAGCCATTTTGTAACTTGTTTTAGCCACCTCCAAACATGCCATTTTAACTCTTAAAAAAAAAAAAAAAAAAAGTCAATAACTATGTTAAATAATCAGATTTTGGCAATATAATGAAGACAGGCATTTGGAACGTGACAATAGCAAACAAATGACTGGCAACATAAATATAATAAATTGATTTAACTAGTGATGGATGCGTTTCTTGATAGCCGATAAAGTCTGGGCTACTGACTTTATTTTGTTCCACATGGCAACATTCCAGTTTCAGTTCACAGGCCAAAAAAATGATGATAATCTGTTGATAATGCTGCAGTTACACTTTTTGCCCAGATGTGGATTTAGTCTGTTGTCCTTTGTGTGTGTCAGACTTGCGTGGAGGCCTGGTGTTGGTGCTCTCCGTCGTGGGTCTGCTGTTCTCTCAGGCCCTTGCCATGCTCAGTATGTTCTTCGCCTGCGAGGTGATGCCGACTGTGGTTCGGTAAGTGTCTTTCTTCTTGTCCAAAGTGATGAGGCTGCCAGTGCACGCCGTACTGTGCAGAAGCTACTGAAAGCAACTTGAGGATGTTGTCTAAAAATAATGCCATGAATTATTATATTTATTCATAACATTTGTTCTAACATGCAGTGTGACTTTCTCACTGTGTGTGAGGAATTAGACTATTGTCAACATACTCCATGAAGAGATGAAAGCAAATAATGAATTGATGCCATGAAGTATTGCTAAAGCCTGATTTAACTTAATTCGAATGTGTATTATATGAATATTACTGAAATAGTCTCCTACAAATACTTTACTTACTCCTCTTTGATTAATGTGCTAAAAACAGTGGCCAAGTGTTTTAGGGAATCTTTTGGCCTTTGTAGGTGACAAATGGGCTGAGTGCTGCACACAGGGCAGGAAGCTGAAAAGTATAGAAATAAGAGAAAAAGATTAACACAAGAAAGTATTGTTTTTCTAAAGTAGTGTTTGCATCTCGATGCCTCCTCCTAATCTTGTGTTTTATCCTGTCCCTGCTCCCCGTCCATCTTTCTGCCAGAGGTGGCTGCCTCGGCTTGGTGCTGGCTGCAGGTTGTGTTGGCATGGCCGCCTCCTCTCTCATGGAGCTCCAGAATAATGGGGGCCACTTTCTCCACCACGTCATCTTTGCCTCCTTCGCTGTCCTCTCCATTCTCTGCATAATGCTTCTACCTGAAAGCAAACGCAAGCCACTCCCAGACTCCCTGAAGGAGGGTGAGAGCCAGCGACGCCCGCCTCTCTTCCTGTCCCAACCCGGCCGGGACAGCCTGCCTTTGCTGTGCACACGGCCCATGTTGTCAGAGTACAACCCTGATAACTATTCCCGCTTGGTCTCTGCCACAAGGAGGATGTTGACTAAAGACACTTTGCCTTATAAGATTGCTGTGCCAAATCGTGCTCCTCTGCTCTCAGACAGTGAAACACAGGAGCAAGAGAACGGAGAAGAAAAAGAGGTTGTTTCTCAACACTCTTAACAGACCCTCCTCATCTTCCTTTTTAGACTTGGCTCCTTTATCCTTTACCTCTGACAGTCTACCATCATACTTCATTGAAGTGTCTGAGTCACTGGCTGGTTGCAGCTCACCTGGAGAACCGGCCTTGGCTTGGATGCAGTGCACTTTAGAATGATGGCTCCAAGTCTGTCAGTTTTGAACAACATATCAACCTTTTTTTTTTTTTTT